TAAAAATTTAGTATAGATGTACTTAACAACATCAAATCGCCAATAGCCAAAACAACAAGTCACAATTAAACATGATTGTCAACTTGGAATTGAATGCGAAATCTAATAGTGGAAGACTTGGACATCACGTCTCGGACTAAAGCAAGAACAAAATGGTTATTCCGGGCATTAACTCGCTGGGAAGACCACCCTAGTGCGCACTATCTTAATTAGGGAGAACTCATACCTCCCGCACTAGAGCCAAACTCTAGTCATGTCACTTGTAACAACAATGTCCCAAAACTCCAAAATAATCCAAATAAGTTCACAACTTATACAAAATTTATATAATGCACGAAATCACCATCCATGCACAAGTAGGTTGAAACCACACAATCCATACCTTAGAGTTTAAATTCTAAAATGCCATACATAATGTCAATTACAAAGCGTGCAAATCATTACACAAGGCAATAATATATTCCATAAAGAAAACATGTTCTCATGAATATAAATATAACAACAATGTTATCCAATACTCAAAACACAACTATGTGAATACACAAAAGTCCAAATCCATGATTTATAAATAGAAACAACTTTTACAATAAAATTAAATCCATGGAACAACAAGATAAAATTTAATTAAATAAAAATAATTAAATAATCTAGATTTCAAATCCTTTCCAAATGGCCTCAATTTAATATATGCTAAAGGACATAGCATGGTCAATACATATATTCATTCAAAATCCTAATTAGACCAATGGAACCATAAAAATAGATTTTAATTAATTCTCTTAATTAAAGTCTCTAAATTTTCAAACTCATCCAAATGCTCTCAAATTAAAGTATGTTAAAGAACATGCCAAAACTCAATTTAAAAGCATATCACAAGTTATTTTCCTGTAAGGTACGTCCATGGAAATTAAACTTTCACAAAGACAATTATTAAATAAAAAGTGCAATTCTAATTCAAATTATCCTAATTTAATATATGTTAACAAACACATCAAAACTTAATTTCCTAACATGCCATAATTTAATTCTAAGTTGAATACCATCATGAGAATTAAATCTTAACCATAGAAAATAATTAAATTAAATTCTAGATTCTTAACAAAAGCATGCATACAAGTTGTATAAGCATCAAAAACATGCAAGACAACAAAAATATGAAATTATAACACCCCCTACCTCCATTTGAGATGAAATCTCAAATCCCCACCAAAATGAAACCGCTCCGAATTCGACGAAACTTCTAGATTTTGTCAGGGGCAACACGATGAACATAACCCCTAAGGAAGCCCCATCAAAATCACAACTTGACCTCAAATTCGAACTCAAGAAATGGCCAAAAATGAACTTTAATAAGGGGGAAAGGTAAAGCACGGCAAGGCGAACATAATACGCTAAGGCACTACACCTTTTTATCAAAGGGAAGTGGCCGAAAAATGAAGAAGAAAGGTGGCAGCCCCATGGCTGCCATGGCTGCCGGCCAAGAGAGATGAGAGAGAGAGAAAAATCTGATTTTTCCTCTTAAGACCTCTTATTTATAGAAAAACCCTAAAAGTGTCCCGAAGGAGCCCCGCCAGGTCCGGAAAAGTGAAATTTGAGCAGACGCGCTCAAATGACAAAATACCGTGAACGAAAAAGAACCAAAATGAGAAAAGATGAATAACAGAAGAAACGGCGTAAAAAACTGAGTCCCGAGCAGAGAGATATGTCCTAAATAAGTTTAGCGGCAATTAGGGCCAAAAACCCTGAAACTGGAGAAAAACCACCAGAAGAAATTTCCATGAGTACTAAACTCAACAAAAAGTGAAAATGAATCCCATACGAAGATCCAGGCTCAAAACGATACATTTTGTAATAACTTTCATTAATTGCACAATGGCCCCTCCAAAAAGTGAAAACTGCACTAATGGCCCAGAATGAAATTATCTTCTAAAAATATTTTCTTAAAAACCCCTGAAATAAAATATCCTCAAAAGATATTTACGAAAAACACCCCAAGAAATAGAAATGTTTCTGAAGAACTATGCATCCATGCCCCTATGGACACCGGGAGTAACTAGAGTACTTTTTTGCAAAAGTAAAGATACGTATTTCGTGGAAACCACTTAGAATGAAGATACGTGAAGTCAAAAACCAACTTCAAACACAAGAAGTGAAGTTATGCCAACAAAGTGACAAACGGGGAAAAGACAGAATAGGGAAAAGGCAAAAAAGTAAATAGTGTCCGAAAAATGAAAATATGGAAATGACTCGGTCCTCAAAGGAAATTGTCAATCCAAAAAAAAGAGTCTCGAAAACCATCCCGAGCACTCAAGATGACACCAAGTGATGAGAAACTGAACTCAGAAAGGAAAAGATTAACGGAAAAAAATATCCGTGAAAATCTGAGAAAAATGAAAGGAATGAAAATGACCGGGTCATTACAATAATGGTAATATTCCATAAGATACAACAAGTTACAAACCCTAGGTTCCATTAACTTGTAAAATGAACACAAAATCAAACCATGTGGAAAATTTAGGAGCGGTGTCCAATCATGAACTCACAACGCAAGATAGTTAGCTGTTTGAGGCTTTTAACCCATAAGGAACTACCTAAGTGTGCACTATATTATAGGGAGAACTCGTACCTCCCATAGTAGGGCCTTGCCCTAGCCATATCACATTTTCTTTGCCCCAAGTATTTCCAAAATCAACTAAGTAAGTTACAACTATCAATTAGTACTGTAAACAATGCAAGTAATTAACTTTCATACACATCCAATTTTTGAACTACACACAAGATATGCCCTAAGTCCTCAAGCTATAATGGCATACACAATGTTAAGTCCACAATGAATTTTCATTCAAATTACTACAACATTATCAAAATATGAAATCAATTCAAACTAGTATGAAATGAGTTCCAAATCCATGAATTTAACAACAACATAGTGTTAATTACACAATTGGATCATTGGCAATAATTAAATAAAATCTTTAAAGTTACACTAACTAAATCATGAGATTTCAAATCATTACCAAATGAAATAAGATTAATACAATACAAAAATCATCCACAATCCTTTAATAATGTAAAACCCTAAGTTAATTTCATATTATACACATCTAGATACAATCCTAGAAACGAAGAAAAACATGTATACAATGTGTATTACCAACAAGGAAAGCAAGAAACTACAAGAGGATAAACATATGATAACCCCTACCTCACCAGAAGATTGTTCCTCTAGAATCCAAGGCAAATGGAAGCAAAATGAAAAACTGAGCAAATGTGTTGTAGAGGAGGAAGAGAGGGAACTTTTATCTTCAAGGTGGAAGACCAAAAGCTCAAAGGAAGGAGCTTGAAAAGAAGAATTGGAGGCTAGGGTTCTAAGGTTCAACAATGGTGGCTTTGTGAGGAAGATGACATTTCACAACTTTTCTCACTAACTTAAAACCCTTGTTAGCCAAACATATACACACCAACACTACCTCTCTCTCACACACACACACACATCCACCCTCCACTTAACACCTATCTAAGCCCCCTCACGAGACTTAATCCAAGCCTTACATTTGTCACCTAATTAGGCTTCCAAGTGTATATAATGGTATAATGGTAAGTCAACAAATGGTCCAATGGGAGAGTGTCACTTGTCACTCTTTAATCCCCTATTTTCAAGTTAGTCCCTCCACAAAATATCCTAAAGAATATTTGTACAAAAGTCCCTAAGGCAAAATATCTCAAAAACGTAATTACGTAAAACACACTGAAAAACAAAAATGTTTCCGAAGAAACCATGCATCCATACCCCTGGAAATAAAAAATAAATAAATAAACGAGCATGCTTTACAACGAAATTAAGACATACGCGGGCAGTAAAAGATAATATAATGCAATGCATGTGGTGCCGGAAATCAGTTCCGAACATCGAAGTATATCTCGGGCGCAACAAAACCCTAAGGCAACGCGAAAAAAGAATAAATCAAATAAATAAATAAAATAAATAAATAAAATGAATGACGGAAAAATCGGAAAAGGAAAAAGAAGACTCGGTCTTCACACTAGCTATTTTATTTTTTCAATTTGCAACACTTTTCTACTAAACATGTTTTCATGTTTTTACTTCCAAAAATCTTTCAACAAATATACATTATTAAACATGCTTCTAAATAATATTGAACACATTCCGAAACAAAAACATTACCTCTACTTTGAATCAAAGCAAATCGAAGTACATAACAACTATGGTTTCAAAATAGGCCATTAGGAACCAGTTGTATGTGCTGCATGTTTTGAGGAGTTATTGAAATTAATGTTGTCCAACACCTCACTTAACCTCTTGGGCTGTGAAAGAGGTTTTAATTGCATTGGTTAAATTGTCTTTGTACCTCCATCTCATAATTACCTATTGATTAAAATATTTCTTAACCTGTCCCAAATTCCCAATATGATGGCTATTTATACATTATCTAGAAAGTCATGTGGCTTGCAAACAATTGTTTCTTCACTAGTTTTGAGTCGTTACATGCACACTAACTGACTTGAAAATTTGATGGATGGTTGAAAAAGGTCCATTTAGTATGAAGGTCTGTAGCTTCAACGCCAAAAAATATTTTGCATGTAACATTTTTTTTAAAAAGGAATAAACAAAAGACCAACTTTCTTGTACCAACTTGTTAATGAGTGACTTCCATCGACTCAATTTTATCTTGAATTTATATACACATATAAATATTGATGTGTATTTATATTATATGGGAGGCTTGTTGAAAGTGAATGAAGAGGAACAAGTGCGGCCTTTTCTCTTCTCCTTTCATCATCCCACCTCCCTGGCTTCTTGTCTGATTGCGAAATCAAAATCAGTTTGCAGTTTTCATGAAGTAGATTTTGAAACACTAAGCTCAAAGATCAACACAACAGATAGATCAGTCACGCACAGAGAGAAAACGATGTTTCTGATCCAGTACTTCTGTCTCTCCCATCCAACCTTGCTACTTTAACAGGTACATCAACAACAAAGGCATCAAAAAAAAAAAAAAAAAAAAAAAAAAAAAAAAAAAAAAAAAAACTATAAAAGCAACAACTCAAGATCCAATAATACTAGCCTCTTATTCTATTACACTTTATCTTCTGCTATATATTAATTTTTTGCTTAGTAGTTTTTATACTATCCACTTCTCTCTTTTGTAAATTCTCTTTTTGCTCTAATTTCCATAATTTTTGTTCTTTTCTTGTTGATCTATATTATCCAATCCATCCATGTCTTATACAATTAAGCAGCTAGCTTCGAAACAAGGATGAGATGATGAGCAATAGACACTGATATGCATGTGGGACTACTAAGAAAATCACCTCTACCTATCATTTCCTAACGCAGCTGATCCGTGCCACGTCTAATTCTGCGAATTCTAGATGTCCCAAAGCTTCAACCAAGGCCTATTCAGTTTCTCAAATGGGTATGAAAGATCCATGACCACAAAGCACATACCAAGGGCACAAGGCCTCGAACCACCTCTGCCGGTACCAATACAAGATGAAGTACCAAGTCAGCTGCCACTATATGATCAAACGACCGGGATGCTGTCAGAGATGTTTGATTTTGTGCAGGTACAAACGGCAGCTACTGACATCTTGGACAATCAGATCTCATCAAATTATGTTAGATGGCCACAAAAAGTGCAGCCCCCAGAAATGGTAAACGAGGTTCAGGTGGGTTTTTCCATTTAATTGTTTGATCACTTGTATAATATCATCACTATCTGAGAAACAATAATGATGACTACTCAACCAATTCGATGCAGCTTGGCCTCGTGAACCCTCATGTCGAAGCATCTTCACCATCCTCGACTAAATCTCCTTATCAGCACATGTTACATCGCTACCAATCGAATCCTCATTTTCGAGGGTTTCACTCAGATGGCTTAGCGGCCGCAGCTGAAGATGGTGTTGAGACCGGTGTGATGAATCCCCCGGTTCAATTCACTTGGGTAAGCGGTAGCAATGGTACTGGAGATGGTGAGAATAGCAAAATTGGAGGGGTTGTGGAGAGTCAAGGCCTTTCTTTGTCCTTGTCATCTTCATTGCAACACTTGGAAGCGGCGAAATTTGAGAAATTAAGAGCAGAAAATGGTGGGATGTTCTACTATAATCAAGAAGTTGGGAGTTCTAACCCTTATGGGTTGAAGAATTCTGGTGCTAATCAGCAACCGATGCGTTTGCAAGGAATGATGGATCAAAATCTCCATGTTGGATTTGGTACATCTCTAGGAATAGTGAATGTTTTGAGGAATTCCAAGTATTTGAAGGCTGCCCAAGAATTGTTGGAAGAGTTCTGCTGTGTTGGAAAAGGCCAGTTAAAGAATCGAAGGCCTAGGAAGCATGATATAAACTCTAATTCTAGTAGAAAAGATGGTTGTGGTGTAGGATCTTCTTCTTTAATGGAGCACCCTCCTTTATCAGCTGCTGATAAGACTGAATATCAAAGGAGGAAGGTCAAGTTATTGTGTATGCTTGATGAGGCATGTTCTCTCTCTCTCTCATGTGCATATATACATAAACATACACAGATATCAATGGAACATGTAATTCCGGTAAGTTCAGTTGAATTTTGTCTTTCTACTAGCTAGCTAGCAAACATTGAGAAACCTGGCTGATGGTATGAGGTTCCTTCTTATGCCAAGAAATTGAATTGTGTTTTACTAAGCAGGCTAATTAATTATAAATAAAACATTAATTAATATTTTGGCCATGTTTCTGAGTATGCAACTTGGATTTTTCATTAAGTGAATGAAAGGCTCCATTATAAGAACTTAGAAGCTGCTAGGGAGGCTGCTGTTGCAACAAAAGATGTATAATAACTAGACCTGGGGACCATTTCCTTTCTATCTTAATTAATTACCATTTTTTAATTTATATTAAGGTACTAATTAACACACCAACTACTGAAAGATGGAAGTAAAATACTTACACATGATGACAATTATTTCCACAAATATGATATATATATATATATCATTGTGGTAGGTTCGGAATATTGCCTCCAGTGGCTATATTTAAGATTGTTTATTGAAGAAACTCTTTGTTTGTTCATGCTGGCACAGACGGAGTTAAACACCTTTTTGTTGTAAACTATATATGAATTTGTTCTTCATTGAGATCAACATATATTAATACCATTTTTTGTTTCTTTGCCCTTCTTATTTTTCCTATATTAATTCTTCTATTATGTATATTGAAAAGTGTATGTTTGATCAATTATTAGAAACCCATAAATAATGTGCTTGTGGTTGTCACATTTACTTTTTAATTTTAATTTAATTTTATTTTATTTTATATGTTTTTTTAGATTAGTATATTGTACTGCACCAAATACTATAGCTAAATTTTGAGTATTTGAATTGAGCTTTTTTCTAATTAATTTTCAATCTATGAGCAGGTGGATGGAAGATACAGTCATTATTGTGAACAAATGCAAGTAATGGTGAACTCATTTGATTCAGTGATGGGTTATGGAGCTTCAACTCCATACACAGGTCTAGCCCAAAAGGCTATGTCACGCCATTTCCGGTGCATAAAGGACGCAATAGCAGCACAATTGAAGCTAACATGCGAGTTGCTAGGCGAAAAAGAGGTCATGGGCACATCAGGCTTGACAAAAGGAGAAACACCGAGGCTTCGTTTGCTTGAGCAAAGTTTTAGGCAGCACAAAACCTATACTCAAATGGGGTTAATGGATACTGAAGCTTGGAGGCCCCAAAGAGGCCTACCTGAGCGTTCTGTTAACATACTCAGAGCCTGGCTTTTTGAGCATTTCCTTCACCCGTATACCCCTCTCTCTCTCTCACACACACACACACGCATTGGGTTTTTTAGTCCATATACAACCATATATACTAGATAATGCAAATTCAGATTTTACTTTCTTTGCTGATTTCCGTTTTGTCATACTGTGTTGTTGGTGATTCAGGTATCCAAGCGAAGCTGACAAGCATTTGTTGTCTCGGCAGACTGGTTTGTCCAAAAATCAGGTACTCATTACCATATTTTTGCATCAAAATTGATGTGTCATATTCATATATATATATATATATATATTGAAAGAGAATACTGATAATTCTGAACTACTTTGTTATGTTTTTTTCTACTTTTGATTTTGAATTATATATTATTCAACTTGTTCTTTTATTAACTCTAGGGATTGTTGCTTCTTTGGGTTATTTATACTTGTGTACCTTGTTAATGCATCCCACGTTTCCTTTTATTTTTGGGGGGGTAAATCATCCCACGTTTCCTTGCATGCACATAGTGGTGATATATATATAGTGGGTGATGAATGAATGAGAAAGATTATTTTGTATCTCTAATATGTATAATAATAGTGAAAATTGAAGATATTGATTTGTTCGATCGGTTCAGTTTTTTGAAGACACTTCTCGAGAATTCTGAAAATTGAATTAGACCATTTTCTGAAAATTCAATTTTCTTTTTCTTTTTTTTTTAATTAATTCAGTTTTCTTAGCACTATCTTTTTAGAAAACTGTCAACTATAAAACATGTTTGGCTAAGTCTTGAAACAAAATATAATTCTTAGAGAATTATAATATACTATTATTATATGAAATTTCCTTTTTTAAAACTCAATTTTCCAGAAATTTCCTTTAGAAAACTTTCAAACCAAAGAATTTGAACTGTTTAATGTTTTTTAGTTATCCTAGAAATAAAAAACTGGTGCAATTAAGTAGATCAAATTTATAACAACTCCATAATTAATTTCCAACACTTCCTTCTTGTTTCTTAACTGTACTAAATTCTATACATTATATTATATCCATTAGTTTTACCTTCACAATATTAACCTTAAAATAACCCATTTAATAAATTATATGCGATCGATAAAAATAAGAATGATAATAAATAATTAACCATCTTTTAATTGAGAAAGGAACCACAGTCTTTCATGTTGGTTATCTGAAATTGATGAGCTTAATTGGTTCAGTAAGTACTTTTGAGATAAGCTTAATAAATTTGAGAAATTTAATCCATTTTGTTAAGAAATTCACAACAGTTGCAAGTTACCTAATTCAATTGTGATTGTTTTTGCTTCTTTAGTTTAAGTTATTGATGAATAAGTTGTTTGATCATCTACCAAGACAATTTTGGTCACCTGGTCTGGTTGCTTCCACATACATCAAATGCATGTGGACTCAAATGAAATATATACTGCTTACTGTGAAAAAGAAAAGTAGATCTATCTTCACTGCGTTTTTATTTTTCTGATAATCGGGGCATTCAGGGCTTTGCCCTGACTAATCTACGAGACTCATACAAAGTGCCCCTATGCAGATCGGGTAAAACTCGGACTATGTCTGTAGATATAACCCCTAAGAAATTATTTGTATGTCAACCCCTTTGGATTATCTTCGCTCCATTTTCTATTTTAAGTGGCCAGTGAAGGTGGTGTGCATGGATGTTCTTATATTATGAAATTTTTAAGGAGTCTAGAGGATATGATCAATAGGAAAACCATGATCATCTTAGAGGAGTATTTTCTAATTAGTTTCAATGTTATCAGGAATTTATACTAAATTTCTAATTGATACAACTACTATATATATCATTGCAGTATCATTCTATTTTTTAACATGTAGTACTTGTCATAAATTTCTGATTGAAAATAACTATTATTAATTATTCTGTTTCATGTTGTATATTAATATATGCTGGGCTTCATTGATCTTGACATGTTTCAGTAGTACTATTCCATTTCACTTGCTGACAATAAAAATGATTTGATTAACATATTTGGACACCGACACCACCAATTTTATTTAATCTTGGATTTATCTTCTTTCTTATAAGCTCTCAAACTAATAGTATTTTATTATGATCTCCATAATGATTGATAATCCAAATTATTGCTACTAAGTAAACTTCATACTCATGGACAGATAAAACCACCTCTTCTAGGTTTATTATTATTATTTTTTTATTGACCTTCAGATATGTGCAACCGTTTGCAACCCTCACTTTAAACACTTTTTTTTATAATAAAAAAAAAAAAAAAAAAAAAAAAAAAAAAAAAAACTGTTTAAACACACTTTTTTTTTTTAATTTTTCTGTACAATTTTCTGATTTTTAATTTTCGATGGGTGTTCTTAAACCCAGCAAGCCCAAGGGTATCCATAAAAATTACCCTAAACCCTTATAAAAAATAAATAAATAATAATAATAATAAAAAAAAAAAAAAGTACTCAAGACTTGCATGCATTGCATTCTTGTACGTAATGAATGGTGAATTGAATGAGACCATTTATTACTCATCCAATTCAATACCGTTCTCTGTGCTTACAGCTTTAAATTGATATGTTGATATGGTTCAGGTATCAAACTGGTTCATTAATGCAAGGGTTCGGTTGTGGAAACCCATGGTTGAAGAAATGTACCAACAAGAGGCCAAGGATGAGACAACAATGGAAGAAGCAATTAGTGACCAATCCAACTCACATGCCCATCATAATTTCACATCTTCACAAACCCCAATGCAAACGACAACTATACCATTAATACCAGACAAAAGATCCCATATCAATGCCACGGAAAACGACCCTTCAAACGACACCATCAATTCTAGGCAGCAGCAGCACTACTCCTCGGGAAACCAAGTCAAGCCCCATGCTGGTATCACCACCACCACCACCTCCTCCTCCTCCTCCGCAAGCCGCCACGCAGGGCCACTGCATCACTGTTTTACGGTGACCCATGAACCCGGCATGCGTCACCCGCGTACTGGAGGTGCAAGCATGGCATCCACGCCTTTAAGGCTCGGGATAACGCCCGGCGAAGTGTCGCTTACGCTGGGGCTCCGGCACACTGACAGCATGTTGGAGAAGAGCCAGCTTTCGATAAGAGAATTTGGGGCCTGTTAGTACTCAATTTGATTCAAATATATATATATATATATATATATATAGAAGTGTTTCGATTCCATGGGTGAGGAATATATAATAGAATATATAATAGAGCATAAAATTAGATAGTAGCTATTTGATATGGATTGTAATTGTACAGCAGGAGGTTTATTCATGTCTGAACTGAGGTTGAACATGTGAAACTAAAGATTGAACAAGAGAGTTGACTAGCTATATATATATATATTATTAGGAATAATTGTAAACCAGTATATTATTTTCTTTTATTTAGATGATATATATAAGCTATTTCTTTGTAGATATGGAAAGATATAGGAGTCCTATAATTCAGCTGTTTATTTCATAGCCAAGACCATGGTTATATTTTGATTTCATCAGAGAGTGGTCGATATATTTGAGAAATTTGCATCATGGTTGGTACATGATTATTTCTCAAAATACCTCAAGTGATGGGGATGAAGGGTTTTATTAAGCATGGGAATGGAGTTTCGGCAAAGAGGGCAAAAAAAGAAAAAAAAAAAAATCAAAGGTGAAAAAAGCTATTGGTTATTTTCTTTATCTATTTTATATCTCAACTTTCATAGATAATCCCAGAAAGTGTTAATTGAATTTATTTTTTTTCCTAGTTAATAAAAGTGTTAATTGAATTGAGTAAATGCTAATGGTTATTTTCATTGCCAGATATGTCAAATAGGTCAAAAAAATACCCAAGTTGCCTTTGCCTCAATCGAACTTTCCTATATATGCCTCGATCGGTCGACACTTAAGCAACTTTAATCGACATATATATCTGTGAACCTCGATCAAACTTTATGAAGCCTTGATTGGTCGACACCCACCCTACACAATTAGATCAAGAGAACATTTTATGGCTCGGAACTTAGTTTCGATCCTAATTGAGTTTGCTTGAACTTTTTATAATATTTTTATAGGTCAAGTATAAAATGTTTTTTCTACAAAAAGGACCCGGGCTTAATTCATTCTAGAATTGTCTTTTCATATGTATTTTATTTACTTGAAAACAAATTCTCAACTTGGAGAACATGTTTACTTGGAGACCAAGATCGATCCTAGAAGCTAGTGGGGAGCAAGTAATGTTCTCTATTTATACAAGTCTGAAAATGCAAATTGTGTCTCAAACCGTGTGTTAATTTCTTGCATATTCAGCCCTAGAGTGATTATTCAAACGCATCGAGCATTCTTTATTTATTTTTTTATCCACGTACGAGTGTTCAGTGTGAGAGTTATACTTCTGTGTATCCGTAAGAGAATATGTGTGAGGCATTATCTTGTCAGAATAGAGAACACCACACTTACTATTATATAATTTGTGTTATTTTGTTTGTGCATCATTCATACATATTATATTACATTAGATATGGTGACTATGATGTTATCATCTTATTATACATATATATTGTTGCGGTACGAGCCGAAAGATCAACGTCAACATATGGCCACAAGTGTTCGAGACCAACCCAGCAAATCGTGAAGCGGTGGACAGATGGGTTGTCGAAACAATTCCAAGTTGAAGATCAAGCAGTACATGATGGGAATGATGTGGATTAATGGGATTATCTACCTGTTAGATGGATTGGCTGGAAGGCAACTGAAGAAATCTTCTAGAGTGTTTCTAATAGAACAATTGGATTGAAATTCATCGTGGAGTAAATCAATTGATGTGAACAAGCATGATTTGTTGTCTCGATGAGTCTAGAAGTTGTAGGTGTTCATAGTATTGAATTGGACTTCTTGTAGTCTTTTTCTTTATAGTGAATTGCTTTTTCACTTTACTGCATATATTAATTGTTTCATATACTATGGGCATGTTTGGTGTGGTAGAATGAATTGGAATGGAATGAGAATGTATGTGAGAATGGAATGAGAATAATGATTCTCATTCCACCGTTTGGTTGTAAACATGGAATGTATAAAAATGAAATCTCATTCTCATTCCTATGTTTGGTAAGAAAGTTGGAATAGAATGAATTTATATTGTTTCTTTAAATTACATTTTATTATTAGTAAAAAAAAAATTAACTAAAAAAATTAATTTGCAAAAATAAAAAGAAAAGAGATAATAGAGAGAGAAAAATAAACGAGATAGAGAGGGGGGGGAACAAATAGCATATAGATACATATTATATATTTTATATAGTGTGTGTATGCGTGAATTATCTCTTTAAATTATTTTATTACTTTATTAATTCTTAGTGGGAATGGAATAATCATTCCACCTCTCAAAAAGTGGAATTGGCATTCCACCTTTTTGATGGAATGGGCATTCTCTAGGAATGACCATTCCATTTTTAATGTTACACACCAAATAAGAGAATGGAAATAAATGCATTCCATTCCACCTTCATTTGATTTCATTCACTCACACCAAATATACCCTATGTATAATTCACGATGTATGCTTTTATGATTATCATGATTAAATCCATCAGCATATGTGCTTAGGTATTTGAGCAATTAACCAAATATAATCAACCACTGAAGTTGGTAAAATTAATTAGGGGATGATTGTTTAATTTATTTGTTTGAACAACTTTTAGTTTGTTTATTTAATTAAATATTTAATTTTTTTAAATCTGATTTTATTTATTTGGGTCAAGCATATAGAATTGACAAGTGAATACAAGATTAATAAAATTCACTAAGTGATATCTGATATCAGAACCAATATATCAATTTGATACATTGGAGTTGCATTTGAAATGCTCCTCCTATCAATATGCATAATTTGAACACAAACATAAGAAATGTTATACATATTGCATGTTTTCATATGAAGTCATGTTTTTCAAGATTTTTCATTTTAAGCTTTTACTTCTCAATTTGATGTTATGTCTTTCCATTGTAACACTCACTGTGACCTTGAAGCATCGCAACCTTATTGTCACAAGGGCGGTATAGGCTTACTCCATCCTGGAATATCCTCCAAAATGCTCCTTAGCTACTCAGTTTCCTCTCCAGTAGAAAAAGTGCAATAGAATTCTGATTCTATTGAGGAATGAGTTTGACAAATGTGCCTTTTGGCTTTCATAAGATTGCAGGTCCTTTTAATTTGGAAGATCCAGGCTGGCATAGATCAAGAATAATCCTATTTTTTTAGAATTCCAAGCATTTTCGTGGTCTCAAATAATTGTCGGGTATTTGCCAAAATGCAGCCCCTGATCCATGGTACCCTACAAGCACCTTAAGATCGTCACAAGAGAAATCCATTGATCTCTTCCAAAATTATTTCTGTACTTGTTATGTTTGCATTGCCGCAATACTTCACTTCATAAAGACCACCAATAATTAAAATTTTCAATTCAATTTACTGCATTGCCTTGATTGCAAACTAGCTCTAATCTAAAAAATAGAGACTGCAACATTTGAATAGTGATTAAACTTTTTTAGATTTACCGATATATTTGGATTGCGTAAAAGTAAATTAATCACTATTTTTTAAAAAGAGCAAATCCATGTTGAGGCCCATAATTTGATTCATAGAATCACATTGTCCTCCCCAAAATCCTTCATGTTAAAAAACTCGAAGTGACAAACTTCTTTGCATATATGATACTTTCCATATATGTCTCAAAATGATCATTGACGTAGAGTCGGATAATGACAACAGAGTACCCTTGGAATCTAATAGGAGTTGCAGATTTCTCCTTTATCAATCTAAAATCTAGCTGCAATATATCACTGTTTTTCTAAAATTGCATGTACCTGTTTAGGAGTTTTCACAAAAAATGAGCTTCCAATGATAAAAATTAGTATCATGATTAAAAATGATAACAAAATATATTTTTCACGAAAATAATTAGTCCATTTTAAACACGCCAATATGGTTGAAATCTTTAACATTAGTGTCTTTCCAACACGTCAATAAAAATTCACATGCTACATGTAATGTTTTGTCTCTTTGATTAATGAATTTAAACTCATGTAATCAAGTATATGATATGCCAAAAATTAAAAAACTTAGTAATGACAAATAATTTCGTAACTATAAAACATACTGTAGGTGCAAAATTTCGCTCAACCAATAATGATTGGGAAAAATAAAACAACTCACTCAAAAAACAATAAAAATAAATAAGAACAGTGTATAGAGAAGCGTAAATTGCTTGATCCCTTTATTGGAGGTCTAAGCCTCTATTTATATACAAAAGATTGTAAAATTATGGTAGGACTCGCGTTGCTTGTCCTCCAATTCTTTCTATATAAACATTCTTTACTAATAGAGTTCTTTCCATTGTCTAATTTTCCATACATAGAACTTGCCTTGTACAGAACTTCCTATCTCAGAATTTTCCTTCTACGGTAAATCCTTCAACTGGTAGGACTTGTGCATTCTTGAGTAACTGGGCTGAACATACTTTGATCCGGCTGGGCTTGAGTAATGGACCGGATGTTAAATATTAACATGTTGGGCTGATCATCTCTTAATTCGGGCTTCAACAGGGCTGAAGGTCATATAACAATAGTATTGGGCTTGTGAACAATGATCTTGGACTAGTATCAAACTCAATTTGGGTTTGAGCGAGGTGGGCTTTATAAACTTATCAAGGATATGTTTATATCTATGATGACGTGGATTATTCTCATTGGAGGGGATTTTTTCCCTCCACACATACCAAAATGGATTGGCTTATTCCGACAAATATGTCATTTTTGGATGAAGAAATTGTTGGCACAAGTGCCCTTAATTAACCTCTTACTATTTTGATGATTACAAACAAAGATAAAAAGTGCTTTTAACATGTCTCCATTTGAGACGTAGTAAAGTAGGAGCACCAATAAAGAACAAGGCATGGAAACATCAAGAAATGGATGACAAAATGGAAAGCCCTCATCTCATCAACCGGGGTAGTTTAGAGATGGTGAGAGTAGATTTAATGTAAGGCATAATAGTTTATAACCTTTTGGTTTAAAGCTCAACTTGCATTCATTCATACATCATGCAAACTATATTTTTGTCGCTTGAACTAACCGATCAGATACACAATGTGACCGAACAGATAGTTATGTAAAATGTCAAATTATGACTGTTGTAACCGATCACTTCAGTAATGTGATCGATCAAATTGATCCAAGTGATCGAACAAATCACCTCATATTATCGATAAGATGCCAAAAACAATGAAGTTTTAAGTTTGTGAAAAACATCATGTGACTGATCACTTCATTTATGTAACCGATCAGATGACATAAAATGATCGATCAAATCACTTCATACTATCGATAGGATGAAGAAAACAGTGCGCCTGGAAAAACTGTAACTTATTTATGTGACCGATC